CAGCAGTAACTTAACATTAGGAGAGATTAAAAAAGAATTAAGCATTAGAAGGAACCGATAATTGGAACAATCTCGTGGGGCTGAGACAGGCCAAGATACTTCTGGGTGAATATAACCAGAAAAGATCATAAGCCTGCATCTGCCTGAGCAAGAACAGGCTACGTATTGTAACAGGGATCCTTACCGGGCATTGCCGACTAAAAGGACACCTAAGTAAACTGAGAGTAGTAGAGGATAGTGAGTGCAGATTCTGTGAGGAGGAGGACGAAACCTCCATTCACATCCTAACTGAATGTGTAGCACTCCAGAATCCAAGGGCACTATATCTAGGAGGATATCAAATAGAAGAGGGAGATTTACCTAACTTGAAGCCACTTCAAATCCTACACTTTCTTGATAAAATAGGATTGGAAGGGTCGTTATAGGCATTGAGACATTTCCTTAGTGCATTAGCGACAGAATAGATCTTTAAGGTCGCAGTGTATTAACAACCCATTCTCAATATAACATAACATCTATAACTTGGGGAAATATCCTTTGCATTGGCGACACAATAGATCTTTAAGGTCGCAGTGTATTAACAACCCATTCTCAATATAACATAACATCTATAACTTGGGGAAATATCCTTTTTTTCAATTCGAGATTTGAGTTTTTGTTTAGTTGTTACCAAAACAAGTACCATCGAATTTGGGTGTTTGTTTAGTCGTTACCATCACAACTGTCTTTTTGGCAACAGTCTCTTCTATGAAGACTAGAGAGAATGAGGCGAATCGGCAATGGTCAAATTTCAAATTTCCGTCCTTCTTTTTATAAAGTTCGCGAAATTGACTGTAGTTGGCATGTCGAATAATAGCGGTGTCAATTTTCTGTAAGTCTGTAAGTCAATGTAAAGAGAAATTATTTTTTAAAAAATTGGTGAAAAGAATCAAAATAATGTGAAAAAAAGTACCTGAGTACAAGTAACATGAGTGACAAACAACATCAAAGCAAGATTTATGTCGTTCCAGATTGTAAAACAGGATAAAAATCAAATGTAAAACTAAAGAAAACACAAGAAAGAATCAATTCAATGTCTTTTTAAAGCTTCTAATGTAAGTAAAATAATGTATTCATGTCTAAATATAATATTTATTGTAAACTAGTCACAATATGTATCTTGCGAAGTGTAGTTTATTTTATTACAAGTTTCTATAATATAAAATTTTACAAACAACAATAATTATGCATTAAATTTAACTTACTAGAAAAGAAAATTGATTTTTTATAGAGTTTTAATGTTAGATAAAGAGTTGCTACTGTTATTTTTTTTTACCCCCTTGTGTCATTGTAAATGTTTTTTATGGGATACTAAACTTTTAGAACAGTGGCAGCATATATATCGTTTTTAGTGCCGGTAAAGCACTTTCTAGGGATGATGCTGTTCTATACTTTTTAGAAGATATTATCAAATATGATGAGACTATTTTTACTGAAGGTACTTTTAGCAAATTAAAAAGGAGAAAGCTGAAATTAAAGGATGAGGTAATACCATGTACATTCCCAAATCTCCCTTTATACTTGTATTACAACAATAAAAATTCTGTTAACTGTGTTTTATTTTACTCTTAAAACTATATATTGGTTCAATTCAAAAAAAATTTTGCCAAAAAAATTGTACAAATTTCAGCATTTAAGAAACCTTTTCGAATTTGGTTATACATACCTAATTTGTATTTTATATAGATAAAATTAAATAATTTATCAATTAAAACAAGCAAGACTTATTTAGAAATAAATGCAACAGTATGTTCTGTGCTTTATTTAGCTATAAACAAGTTTATTTTTATTATTTTGACAAAATTATGAATAATTCCTATAAGAAGCCATGTATTTTGAACACCGTATGCAGTACCAGCGCCCATGCGGTTAATTATAAAAGCTCAATTAGCATGCGTTTTTTGGGACCATATTTTGAGTATGCCGATTCGCCTCCTTATCTCTAGTCTTTAGTCTCTTCGTAACTGATTTCAGCTAAACTATAGTGAAATTGAATCTTTTATCACTTGGCAACTACGTATTTCCTCACCACGGAATTTGGGTTTTAGCTTATTCGTTACCCTATGGCAACAGTTTCTCCGTAACTGATTTCAGCTAAACTAAATCATCTATAACTCGGCAACTACGCGTTCCCTCCTCCGAAATATCGGCTAATGGGTTCAAAACTAACCGCTCTGTTTGACATTCTTGAAAAATCGGTTAAAATAGGGACGCGGTTACCTGAAAATGGTGACTCAAGGGTTAATTAATTCTCCTTTAATGAAAATGTATAGCACTGGGAAAAATATAGGCGAATATTGAAAGATCAGACATTTTGTGACACAAGGTAAGTCTAGATTTTTTTTTAGTTTTGCCATTTTAAACGATTACTTATGTTTTTTAATTATAGGCAATTTGATTTTTCAATAAAAGCTATACTTAAAAATATAAGAAGAATTAAAATCATAGTTTTTGTTCCTTTTATCAAAAGTTTTGAAAATAATAAAGCATGAAAAAATCTAAAATTAATTTTTTATATTAATCATCCACATTTTTTTTTGCTGGTCCGCATATTATACCAAGAAATTTCTCAAATCTCGTACTTCTGGCAGTTGCTGAATGGACAAGTCCTGATTAGATTTTGGTCTGACTAGCATTTTTATTAATAATATATTTTAAATAAATATCCCAATAAGTTTCAGCTTTGGAAAACTACTTATATTGATCTAATTATTATGGTATGGCAGTAGTAACGCTGACGCGGCCGGTCTTGTTATATTGCGGTCTGACTTTTTTTATTTATTAACATAAAAACTATAAATAATAAAAATTCGAACCGTGGTAAAACAGTTTTATGATGCTTTATATTTGACAACTTTCAGGGTATGCTGTCACAAGGCGTCGCAAATCAAATTGCTGATTCTACAATATTTACACACGCACTAAACAGAGCTAAAAGAGCATACATTGCTTACGAACAATGTCGCCGAATCGTGGGGCGTACCTGGGGTGTCTCCCCCAGAGGAGTTGTCGCATGGACACGGTTATCATAAGACCTATGCTAACACACGGTGCAGTTGTCTGGGTACCGAAAACCCAAAAATGAACAGCTATCCGTAAACTAGGACAAATTTAAAGAACAGCATGTCTCAACATAACAGGAGCCATGAAAACAACACCGACCAGAGCGATGGAAGTCATTATCAGTCTCACTCCCCTTGATATTTACATCCAGGAGGTTGCTCTGACGACAATGACACGCCGCCGCACGGTTGGAATAGAACCTGATGTAGGATCTGGTGAGGCGAGACGTCACTTTTGGCAGGAGGCGCTTGATACGCTCCCACTGCTTCAAGCGAACATGGACTTCATCTCACCGAGATATATCTTCCATAAGCCATATAAAGTTATAATAAAACAAATAGAAGAGCCAAGTGGCAGGTACGATTCATATCTACACCGACGGTTCTAAAACAAAACAAGGCTCAGGATATGGAATATACTCCAGATTCTTAAATCTAAACAAAAAATGGGCTGTAACCAATAGTGCCAATGTAGTTCAAACAGAACTAATGGGGATTCTCACAGCAGCAAAAGAAATAACCAGAAAAAATATCGCTGGAAGCAACATGCTCATCTATACAGATAGCAGACAAGCACTACTCACCTTCAACAGACCACGAATTTATTCAGGGTTAGTCCTAGAATGTCACGAAGCTTTGGCCAAAGTATCCATCAACAATGTGGTCACCTTAAGATGAATCAAAGGTCACGCCACATCGAAAGGTGACCGTCTTGCTGATTCACTAGCCAAGAAATCAGCCAACCAAATACTTTGTGGACCTGGCCCTTCTATTGGCCTGACAGACCTAATTAAAGAACAGTCCCTTGTGAAATTCAAGGAAAGATTAGATGAAACAAGAAACTGCAAAGTTGCCAGGGAACTCTTAAGTTATCCTGACAACACTGCAGCAAACAAATAGTTGACTATGACTAGACAGAATCTGCGCCTAGTCATAGGCATTCTGGTTATTGCCAAGTACGGAAGCATCTCCATATCATGAGGCTATCAGAATCCGCACTCTGCAGAGGGTGCGAACAAGAAGATGATACCATTGAGTATATCCTTTACGATTGCTCGACGCTCTTATTTATTAGAAAAATTGTGTTCGGCGAGTATCGGCTTACACCGGCCGATATAAGAGAAGCACCTCTTGGCGACGTTGTCAACTACATTAAATCTGTAGGCTGACTCACGAGCTAGGAGGTGCCTATCATCTTAGGAGGATGCACAATATGCCTAATAAGGCCTAAGTGCCGTGGGGGTAACCCACCTTCCACACGCTACAGATACAGATACACACGCACTAAATAGAAAACTTTGATTGAATTTTGAGTCTTGCTAAAATCCTTTCACTCTTTTTATTGGCTCTCGGACTCTAATGATGACTGTTTTTAATTACTTAGTTGCCACATTCTAGACTTACTTATCATGTCTTCTGTATAACAGTGACCCCCTTAGATATGAAGAATGTGATGTTACACAAACTGTCAATTACTTTTTAATCACCTGTTCTCACTATAAACTATAGAGTAATGAAATATAATCCTTTACTCAATACTATAATCCATTGCATTGCCTATAAGATATCAAATAACAAGAATATTGTTACGAAAAACTGTATATGGAAATATATTACTTATTGGATACCTCAAAACTTATTCCATTATATCTAGTTTTGCTGTGTTCTTTATACAATATGAATATAATAAACTGACAACATTATATGAATATTCTGCAATACATATTTTTTAAAATTTTGTTTCATACATTAAGTCAGTGCCAAACAGAGATGGGACTATTATATTGGGGTACTGAAAACAGTATAATTTCCGAATGACAAGGCATTGTATGAATGCCGGCTGCAATTTTCTGCTGAAGTAATTGAAAAATTTCGATTAAATTTTTTCGTAGTGCTTACCTGAAAACTGTGATTGACGTTTTTTGTTGAACACTCGGCTAGGCACAGGTCGGTGAGTTCGATTTCATCGAAAATCACAGCCTGAAAATAAAGAAAAACGGCGATTAAAATGGAATGGAACGTTGTAATTTGGTATTTTTCAAATAAAAAAAAATTATATATATCGAAACCACAAATAAAAGAAGAAAAATATACTTTTTATAGTTGTTATACCCAATAAAAAGGGGCGATAATATGTTTTTAGGGTTCATTGTATATATGTGTATTATTATAGATTAAAATTAAATAGAGTATTTTAATATTTAAGCATATTAATCTAATTAAAAATCTCTTTGTATACCGCATTTTTCTGGTGCGCTTCTCATGTGCTAATATCACCAGACTCTCTAACTTGTCACATAAAACTGTCCGTGAGTAAAACAGTCCTCTCTTAGTCTCTCTGATCCACCAGCTTGGGGATTGAACAATAACAATGTGAAACAGAAAATGGTTATTATAAATACTCCCGAGTGAGATGAGAAATAAAAATGGCTGCGCCCATAGAGTCGCATCTTGTTCTATTAATACAATATGCACATTGGCTTTCTACCCCACTCCAGTTCATTGGGTTTACCCTAACCCTTTCTCCCGTCTGGGTTATGATGCGAACAAAACGTTGAATTGTTTAGACATTAAAAATATTATGTCTATAATTTAATACTATATGGTATGATGGCTAGTTTTTAGATAGGAAAAAAATTGTAAATAATTCAAAACTGTATATATCTACATATTTCTTGACATATTTTATCTAGGTAAAAATAGATAACATTAACGACACAATGATTTCAGTACTTGATACAATTAACGATATATTTATTAACATGAAGGATATGTCAGTAAAAACTAAATGAATCGCTTATTTGAGAAAGCCCACATGTCCAAAAAATCAATACTTCGAGAAAATCTGAAAGAAATGTTTTATTTAAAAACCACTTGAACATCTATAAAGACAGGTACCTTAATATAAAGTAAAATTTTTAGCAAAATCGAATAAAAAAATCTTTTGGTCTTGTCACAAACAAAATAAAAAAGGCGATTGACACATGGGGTTTCTTAAATATATACGCAACTTTTTTTCATTATTTTTTTTGGTTAAAATATTGTTAAATACAATAAAAAAATAGTAATAAATTCAGTCATGCTTCAATCATCATGGTCGCCACCAACAGGTGGTGGCCATTCAAATATTTCCCGACAGAAGTTTTCAATTTCTTCACCTTTTTTTTTACGATAAACCTCTGAAACTTTTTAATATTTAACATTTTTTTGTGCACTGATTAGGACTTGTAAAAAGGAATGCAACGATTGTGGGAAAAGCAGTCACATATTTCTTCTCCTTGTTGCAGATGAAGTGCATAAAATTGGAAATCAAAATTGAAACCTCATCTTTCTTTTTAACACCCCTTCCGTAAGATGCCATAGACAATAATTTTTTTGTAGTAAATTGGTTACAATTTTTTATAGTCTTTGAACACTGTATTTTCTTCATCCATTAAGTATAGCGACGAAAAATTTTTTTTAGTGCTTGAACTAAGAATCAACAAAACAATCTTTTAGGAGGAAAACCCTGTCTTTTTATTAATTTTGACGTAAGCATTAGGAGCCCTTGATTTGAGAAATACTATGTTCGGGACTTTTGGGGTTTCTCAACATATTCTAAACTAGCGCTAAAAGTATTATATGGGTTGGACATGTAGGATTTCTCTTGAAAAGATGCGTCGTCTATTATAGAACTATATGTTAATGTAAAAAAGCCAAAATGTCAAATTTATGGACATGTATGTAGGGTTTCTCATATAAGCGATTTAAATACAATAGTAAAATCTATAAAATACCTGTCATAAAGGTATACTTAAATTAGAGAAAGAACGAAAACAATTTAAAGAAACAAATAAATAAAGAGTGACCTGCAAAAAATGTTTCTAAAGTAGGCCACGGCCGACAAAAACAGGACAGGGATTCTTATGTGCATACTCAACACGTAACGAATCAAATAGAGAGAGACATTACATACAAATCGCATTCAGTGGAACGAAAATAGTCTTCTCAACACGTGCCGAATTGAAAGATGAGAATCTCAATGCTGATATATGAGTCATGTCGTGATAACTACCTACCGATGCCAATTAAATATAAACTGACACTTAAAAAGAAGAATAATTGTATGCTCCGATATGCGTGAATTTTTCCAAGGCCAAATTTAAAAAAAATTGTGGATCACTCTATATAAATAGTATTTGTCAATAAAATTGTATAATTACTTACATCTTGGTCACATTTTAATTTGGAAATATTTTCCTTTTTAAGATGTTTTATCTTCGACAATAAACACATCTTATTCTTCTTCTTTCTTTCGTGATATCTAAAGTTACTCCAGAAAAGGAGAAATATTCTTGTTTAAATAACTGAAAAATTAAAGCTCTATTTATAGGTGTTCCATTATATCTAGTAGTTTTCTCTTTAACTAAAATCAACTCAACATAATTTGAAATTTCTTTTGTTTTTGATAATTAAAACGGGTTTATTAACTTTCACAAGAAACTTTGAAAGTTTTCAAATTTAGTTTAATGATAACAGCTCGTGTACGACAAGTCCGTACAAAATTAATGAGACGATGCAACAAAACAATGAAACAGAATAATAATTTCTTAAATTCATTGTCGAACAGCTATTTTGAAAATCAAATTACTTGTTTAATGAGAAAAACTCATTTAGAATACTTAATTTTTCAACTAGCACAAGATTTATTTGTTTTATTTATTTATATAAAATAACTACTTTTATTAAGACTGTTATTAAAATAGATTAATATTTAGACTCGTAAAATGTGTAAAATCACTATTTGGAAAAAATACCAATATCTAATTGAGAAGGAGTTCAAATATGATAAATTAGGTGTGCGCCACTGAAGTTGGCATAGTTCCAAGAATACTAACGTACCAAATTTCTTAAGAATATACTATATCTAACACAATTAAAAGTGGCGAAACAATTGAAAAGCTTATTAGAATAATATATTCATGTAACTAACGAGTTTTGACAGCGAGGGAAAGTTAGACCTGGAGAACTTATATAACCGAACGAGACTACTGAATATTGAACTCAGGGTTAAACAGATTGAGGATATTGTGCTAATAACTAAGAAATATATCTGTAGGATTATGGAGTATGTCATGAGCAAAGAGAATAGGACGGCATGCATAATGGAGGAGCCAGAAAAAAAGGAGCCAAGGGTCAATCACTGAAAATGCCACCGTGAAGAGCAAATATGTTATAATCATTACGTCTCTCCAAACATACCGCTGGAGAACTACAAAGCCAAAACTGATAAAATGATAGGGATATAGTGAGGAAGACAATAGAGTTCCTGATTGCGGGTGATGTGAATGGGATCTCCACTTATCTACTGGGTTAGTGCGTTAGAAGTTGTAATACTAAACCGGAACCGATCACTGACATTTGTCAGAAGGGCTAGTAAGTCGTCCTGGAATTGCGATGACGATAAAGGGATATGGAAAGTATTCGAGATTGAAACCCCTAGATTTCCCAAATACATAACATAGACAATAAAACTAACACCACCAGCATTAGGAAGACCATTCTCTTGGTAACATCTCTCGTGAGAGAATGGGTGGTATGTTAAAAACCGTTCTGCCCTCGCGACTGGGGACGACACCCACTCTTTAATAGGTAATATCAAAGGGGCTCAGAAATGATGTGAGTTCAAAGCAGGAGAAGAGATATCCATGCCCTACTGGTGGAATAGTGAAATCAGAAAAAATTGGGTATGCTGTTACTGTGTTAGATGGAGTTGTACAAAAATCCAAAAGTATAAATGGATCCAAGAGGGTAGAGGGTTATAAGCTAGTAATGAGATACTTTAGGATCCTAGCGACCCCATAAAACATCGACGAAAAAAGAAAGAGGGAGATAGTGGGGGCTATTCTCACACCTTATGTATTACTAAGGAGGAACTAGAAAAAGTGGGTGAATTGGTAAAAAGCGGAAAGGCACTCGGAAGCGACGGCATTCCTCTAGTGGTAATAAAGGGCGCAATACGAGCCATACCAGAGCCAGACCACAGAGAATATACCACTTCATCGAAAAAGCAAGCTTTTTAGCAGTATGGAAACAAGCTAAGATGGGCCCTTAGAAGTCAATTTTAACCTCTGAAGCCTACTGAGCTTGTGCAGGGAAGGGAGGACTAGTATTATTATTTGTTAAGATGGCGTCATTTGATGGTGCCATTTAACTTACAGGTGAAAAAACTCGGAAAAACCCATTCACCCTAATCGAACCGCTCACGCGCTGTGATTTGGATGTTATATTAACAGAAATTAAATTTCTGCTAATACGAACTCTTTAAACCCAGCAACGAATTATCAAAATTTATTAAAATGGTTTGGTCTACGATCTCAAGCCGTGTGTCGCTGTACTACTAAAAGGTCCGTAAATAAATACTGACCTCTCTACATATTGCGCTACGGAGTCGAATGATTAAATCAGACAACTCCTTAAGACGAAGAAGAAGGAGATGGCGAAGCCTACTCGAAACAAGTGAGGCAGACATCTAGGTTCCCCCAATGGACATCCAACAGATATTACCAGGTAGTCTACGATAACTTCAAAGGGTGGTTTTAGTTGGTAAACAGAATACATTTGGAAAACCGGTACGTGTAACTGAAGATTTTACTGAATTCTACTGATGTTGTTTGAATGAATGAAATTACTGTGATTTAGCTCAAAATTGATGTTAAAATGAGGATTCTAAAATCAACCAGTGTAATTTAAGTTTAGGAGTAGATCAACCTGTTCACAGGCAAAGATTTATTGAAAAGTTAATATTAGGAGAAATTACAAAATATAAAAGAAATAGGAAGATACACAATTTTGTTGAACGCCACTAAGTTTTACAGAAAAATTGCAGAAAAGCTGAACGTAAATACATATTTTTAAACAAACGTAAACCTGTCAATTCAAAATGCACTCATTTAAAAGGAGGGAAGAAAAAAGTAAATTCAAACGCTACAATTATAAAA